TAATCACCTGGTGGTTGGAAATGAAAATGAATTCCACAATGCATCGTTCAAGACCGGGAACCGCACCCACCCAAAGTAAAGCATCAAGTTGTTTTGTCAGGACTAACCTGTTGTTCTCTATTTTCTGGAAAGATAATCTGTCTATTCTATGTAATACGGGCACACACTCACACTCAGTGCCTCTGCTGTGCGAAAATTAGTACACCGGTGCCGATCAATATGTTTAGTGGGTGCCACCCAAATTTAATTGGAAAACCCTTAAATCTAAACGCAGTTTACTTTAAAAACATTGAACAGTCCAAATATTGACCTCAATTCTTACATCCACACTGGGGATTCCAGGAATCATCTCAAAGTAGTTGAGCCAAACCAATGACTGGTTCAATCTCTCAAATCTGCTCTCTTCTGGTTAAAATCCTTGAATTAAATCTGATGACCTGAATAATGCATTGTTGGTACAAAGGAGAGATAACAGATCAAAGGGCATCAATGAAGATCATAAAAATCAAGTCTCTAAAGATTTATAAAAGTGTAGTGATAACAGTTCATTCCTGTTCCAGCCACACTGATATAATTTGGCAAAGAGATTAATAATGTAACCTGCCCATGGATTTCCAACCTTGTGAACCCAGGTTCAAAAATTACATGAACAAATTCCTGTGGTTAAAGGCAACTTAGTAAAGAGATTAAAGGGAGACAAACAGCTTAGTTCCATTGTTGGTGTCGTCACAAATGCCAAAATACTACCAATTTTCCAAACTTTAGGTGGGAATAGAGCTACTCCGTTTAAACCATCCTCTGATGGTTTAAACAGAGTAGTTCTATTCCCACCATTTTAAAAATAAGCTGACTTAACATGTTCTCACCCATTTAGAGATGTAGTGATAATCCTTACGATTCATTTAAAACCTATAGCATCAAAACATTACCAAGTGCTTCACAGGAAATTGCTTCTGAATTTGGGACGACCTTCTGAAGTGAAAGGTGCTATACAAATGTAAGTTTGTTATTGTTGTAGTAAGCAAGTTTGCAGACAATTAATAACTACAGACAGCCACAAAATGAATGAGCAATTTATCAGGAAGATAGTCAGCAAAGTAATTGGGAGAACTCCTTTCCAATAGTCAGTCACAGGACCCTTAACGTGCACATGAACAGGCAGATAGGTCCTTGGTTCAATATTTCATCCGAAGGACAACACCTATGCAAGTCGATCACCCCTATCCTTGCCTGGCTCCACTGGCTCTCCATCCCCCCCTCGACCTTTTAAGGCAAGTCTTGGAAGAGGGAATAGTGAGGAAGGGAGTTGAGAGGTTAGGGTGGTATCGAATTGCAAAGCTTAACCAACCATGGTGGTGTGTTGAGAGGGATGGGATAGGAGGAGATCAGAGAGATAGGGAGGTATTAGGGCGTGAAGGAATTTGTAGGCGATTGTGAGGATCTTGACTTTGAGAGACAGGGAGACAGCTGAATTTTTCATCCCCACAGGTACAATGTGCTTATGTGTTCGGAAACCTGTCTCTCTCTCCAATCCCTCCAACCTCCACCACAGCAGAACCCAAATAACAGTTGGAGAAACCAAGAAGTCCGGTAGCTAAGATGCCTTACATTTTACATAGCCATAGCCTTCACTAGTATTATTTAGACGGTGGTTGACCGGTTGGGGGAAGAAACTATTCCAGAGGTTCAAGGAATGCAGCAAACAAAAGGCCAGATGTGACAAGTATTTTAAACATACAGGCTCGATCTATGCTATGTGTGATGCAATCAATACCACACAGTAAGTATTAATCATATCATAAGCAGAGGGAGAAATTTTAACCATAGAAATTTATGGCATACAAAGGGGTCATTCGGCCCATCGTGTCTGTGCCGACTTCCTCAAAAACAATCCTTGCATTTTGAAAAAAAATTATACATAAAGTTTACATTTTAAGATTTAAAATTACTAATATTCTACTCGCTTCAAATTTGTCCTATTGACTATTCTCCCTCACCCACATCAATTAGCACAGATTCCCGTGCTTTGCAGCCTTTGTATATATAGTCAGATCATTGCTGCTATTTTAAGAGTTAGTTTTCTTCCGTAACTCAATTACAGAATTTCCAACAACAATTTTAGCCATTTATCTTAGATATACTTTAGAAGAATTAAGTTTTCTTCCTCTCCCCATTCCGCTTTCAAATTGGCCTTCCAGAACAAAATACAAACCAGTGTTCGTACCCAGAAATGAAACGCAAAGCAGGAACAAGTCAAAACATTGCCCTACATTCCTGAACGCTTCACCACACCTTAATCCCCTGAAACCTGGAAGCCAGATCAGACACATTAAAAAAATAAGATTGTTTAAGGCTGCTGCTGAATAGGTACGAGTTCCACTTTGTTTTCTACCTACATCTGCACTTCCTTTTGTGAAACATTTTGTTCCCCACCCCGCACACTTCTGCAATCGACAGTCAAGAAATTCTTCCGTGCAGATTCAATATACTTTGTAAAGTGCCGAGTGAATGAGGCCAAAGGAGGGCAAGCAGACTATTCAACCACAGGAGTCTTAATAACTAAACCAAATCCTCTCCTTGTCCAACATCGGCTGACATAACTCCAAGCATAGGCACTAGGTAATGATTTGCAGCAGGAACTCTGGCCAATTTTCCCCTTCTGAAACATCTCCATTGCTTTGACAGTTAAGGTCAGATTGGGCAGGGTTCGAGTTTCTGTACGACTCAATGGAACACATGGTCCTTAACTCACTCAAGGCAGCTTCATCAAAGTTTAATATATTTATCAACCATGGAAGATTAAAACCACATTGTGTAACTAAATTATTTCAATTGGAAATAAACACACTGGTGGTCTATTATATATCACTATGGGAACCTAACCTTTTAAACTCCAATCTATATTTGCATATAGTACATCAATACACATTAGCACACTCTGCCACTCCCATAAGACAAAATGTCAAGAATAAAAAGGCTTTAAATATTCTCCTCCTGAAAGGAAGAGTCAACAAAATGCCAATGCATATGTATTGATCAAAATTGTGCTTTATGTAGTAGCATGCTTGCACCAGAGGTTAAAATACCCATTCACAAACAGTTTGCAACACATGGCAGGATAATATCCCCATAAAAAAGGATCATCTTTCAGGCAACAGCACATTCATAACCATCTTAAGCAAGATTCCAAGTCAGTCAGGTAATGCAAATTGTTAAATTTTAACTGAACAGCTGGACACTGACAGGAAAGGGCACAGAAAAAAAAACAAGGTTTTAAAGCCTGATCATATCAAACATTTGACTGCAGTACTAATTGGAAACAGTGCAATGCTGCCTTAGGTGAAATAGTGAATTCTTCTAACCTTTAGCTTGTTTGCACCTAGTGTCAGTAAAGCTTACTGCCTAATTTATGCATCGAAAGAAAGTAATGTTTAAAACTGACATAGGAAAGATAATGAGGCATTAATAGGGAAGATTTCTCTAAGTTTAACAGCATCACTTGTCTGTGAATCACTCCATTATACTACCGTCAGTCTTCTGCTTGCAACTGGGTGGGGCTGCAACACTCGCAGCAAAACCCACAAGAATCTCTAACGGATGGGGTTGGGAGAGGAAGAGCATAAAAAACACAAGTGTTAACAAGACACTGTAAAAATAGTCTTACTTTAAAACGTTTAAAGAATCAAAAAATAAGCAATTCATTAAAATATTTAGCCTTCTCTCGTTAGATCCATGATTAGTTTAACCACCTTGTTCAACTTTCTCCTTTCACAGCTTAGGAATTACAGTATATATAGACCTACCTTGTCTAACCTTTTCTATTAATTCTCTTTGCACAAAAGATTAAAAAGGGCCGTATTACCAGCTTAATGCAACAGACAGAAAAGCCCGAGGGTATCAAACATGTAGGATTGCGTTTTTAAAAAAGGAAATCAGAAGGGTTCAAAGGGCCGAAGCCAAAAGCCCAATTTTGCTTTAGGGATAAAGAACTCAGCAACATGGTAAGGGCAGGTTTCTGAGCTGTACAGCACATGGGGCAGAGGGGGAGCGTGAGAGGAGAGAGGGCGATCCTTCCAGACACAAATCTCTCCACAGATTTTCACAGTCCAAATATTTCCCTATTCCCCCACTTTTTTTAAAAAAATACAATGAGATATAGATATTCTGAGTCAGACAGACATTGCAAAAGGGAAGGAAAGAAGCAGAGAGAGGGAGAAGGAGAGGGAGCGAGAGGAACGCTGAAAGAAGGGAGGAAGGAATAGATAGACAGACCTTTGAGGGACGATTTTATAAGAAAAAAAAGCTTTTCTTTCGTATATTAAAAAAAGCTCTAAAGGGAACAGGAAATAGCATTAAAGGCAAAGGAAGCCGAGCCCAACTGCAGATGAGCTACCTGCCCTGTCTGTCTGCACACAAACACACACAACTTAGCCTCTCCTCTCCTCACAAGAAACAAGAGATTAATTAGAAATAAACACTATTAAATCGAAATGTTTAATTTTTTTATATGAGGTGGGACAGAGGGAAATGGATGGGGAAAGGAGGCAGTGGGGAAAGAGGGGGGAAGGGGAGGTGAGGAAGAGGGGGAAAGAGTGGGGAAGGGAAGGGGGGAAGTGGCGGTGGGGAAAGGGGACATTCTGACAAATGGACTCCAGGTTCTCTTTTTTAATAATTAAAAAAACTTTTGAATTTAATTAAAAAGCCTCGCAGTTGCAGTATAAAGCCACCGCCTTTTTTTTCGCAACCTGTTCAAGAAAAAAAGTGTGGGAGGGGGAGAAAATGCGAAAAGTAACTATTTTTTACTATTAATTTATGTTTTAAAGGTAATTTTGAGAGGAACCTGAGGGGGAGGGAGAGGGGGGGTTAAGGCGGGTTTTGACTATTTTTAAAAAAGAGTGAAATTTGACCCAAACTGGCGGCGTTTTTCCTATTTTTTATAAACAAATCAGTATTTTTTTGTGCGTTAATATTTTTTCGAGAAAAAGGTTTTTTCTAATTACCTCAGAGGCTGTTGTGTCACCGGACGCGTCTCCGCCGCCTGTGCCGTGTGTGAAGCCGCCTCGCGCCTCTGCCGCTCCCCGCGCTCGCGCCGCGCTCTCCCTGCCCCCCTCCCCCGCGCTGATTGGTCGCCGCCCGCTTTGACGGACGGCTCTACAACCAATCGGACCCTCCTTCTCGCTCTTCGCCTTCCTCTCCTCCCTCCCCCCCGCATCAGTGCGCCCAATCACAGTTGAATGACAGCTCCCAAAGCCAATAGAAAATGTCCCATAGGTCCAATTTGCCCGCCTCTTCCTGTAAATCTAACCAATCATAGACCTATATGGTTGACTGAAAGCTTCGTTTACCAATGGAAAGTCCCTGCTGTGATTGGGTGAGGCCGGGGATTGATGGCACTAAGTCCCGCCTACGCTCAAGCAGCCAATGTGTGGCAACAACAACAACAACATTACATTTGTGAAACGCTTTCAACAACAACAACAACAACAAGATTCCATTTATAGAGCGCCTTTCACATCAGGAGGATGTCCCACACCGCTGGATAGTCAGGGATCAGGCCCCGAGCGCAGGGGTTGGGATGAGGGGGGGCCAGAGGGGGTAGGGGGAGGCTGAAGTCACAGTCAAAAAGGAGGGTGTTGAGTTGAGTTGAGAGGGAGGGAGGGAGCGAGGGAGGGAGCGAGGCAAAGGGAAGCGATGGGATTCAGGTCCAAAGAGTGTGGGGGCAGAGAGGCTGAAGCCCGGCCGCTGATGGTAGTGGTGGGGAGGGGAGTCGGGCGGGAGACCTACAGCAGAGGTCTGCTGAGTGGGGGGAGCGGACACGGTTGATAGGGGATCAGCAGGTCAGAGAGGTAGAAGGGGGCAAGTCCGTGGAGGGCCTTGAAGGTGAGGATGAGGATTTTGAACTCTATCCTCTGGGGGATGGGGAGCCAGTGGAGTCAGGCGAGTGATGGGGTTACGGCGCCTGGTGCAGGAGAGGACACGATTCACTCCCTACCTCCCTACCTCTCCGACTTCCTCACCCTTCAATCCACCACCTCCGCTTGACTGGCACCGTCCTCCTGCTTATCCCTTGCACCCTCCACCCCACTATCAGAGGTCGTTCTTTCAGCTACTACGCCCCAAAACTCTGGAACACTCTCCCTCAATCCCTCCGCCTTGCCCCCTCTCTCCCCTTCTTCAAATCTTACCTGAAAACCTTCCTTTTCGACCATGCTTACGGTCACCTCCCCCCTCCTCCTGGCTCAGAGTCAGACTCCGCCACTGTTAAGCCCTCTGAGGCTCTACTCTGTGTGGAGGGCGCTATATAAGTGCAAGTTTCTGTCGTCGTTATTGTATCTATCACATTGCATTTGTTCCCTGTTCGCCCCCAAAATGCACAATCAAACCACTTTACTATGAAGTGCTTTGAGACGACTCGACAACGTGATAATGCGCTGTATCAAATACAAGGATTATTATAAGTGCGTGTGTGTGGACGCCAGGTGAGAGTGGATGAGTGTGAGTTGTTGTGGAATTCAGCCAAGACTGTCTTACACATCATCAGCAATAAACTCAGCATTGAAGAGTGGCTTGAATTACAATGAGATTACTGCCTTCAATAAAGAGATATGTGTATCAAGAACAGATAAAGCACAGACAGACGTCTGAAGCACACAAATGTCACATTCCTATCAATATTTCTCTTCAAGACACCAGGGCCCTGAGACCAGGGGTCTTAAAACACAGTCACTTCATTTTGTGGCACTTTGGGAAGCGCTCAGAGACTTTCCTGATGTTATAGACACTGGCAAGATTTATTATTAATTTTTAATCTGATTTCTGCAACACTTTAAAATATAATTGACCTCCAAATTAAGATGGAATTTACAATTTTTCCACAATGCTCAACATCTTAAATATCAGGTTCACAGGCTCACAGACTAAAACTAGGTGGAATTTTGGGGACTCATGTCTTAAAATAATAATTATCCTTGCATTTAATACAACGCCTTTCGCTTCAGGAAGACATCCCAAAACTATTAAATTGCAACAGTTTACTAATGGATTTACTACAAAGTGTATGTAGCGAGGGTGTATTTTGTAGGTGAAATGTGGCAGCCAATATACAAACAGCAACCTACCACAACAACAGCAACAACAAGATTATATGTGTATAGGCCTTTCACGTCGGGAGGACGTCCCAAAGCGTTGGACAGTGTCCAGCATTTCAGACCCGAGCTGGAGTTGGTGGGGGGTAGAGAGGGGAGGGGAAGGGGGGTGACTGATGGCATGGTCGAAGAGGAGGGATTTGAGGCGGGACTCGAAGGAGGCTAAGGAGGAGGCGAGGTGGAGTGATTGGGGAATGGAATTCCAGAGGTTGGGGGCAGAGTGGCTGAAGGCACTCCCACCAATGGTGGGGTGGGTGGGTCGGAGCCGGCTGAGCGGAGGGAGCGGGCGGGTTGGTAGGGATTAGGAGGTCACAGAGGTAGCGTGGGGCAAGGAGAGGAAGGAAGGCGTTATAGGTGAGGATCCAGGATCTTGAACTGGATCCCTGAAGGATAGGGAGCCATGATGTGAATGAGAGGGTTTTATTTGAGGGATTGTCGGCCAGGACACCAAGAAAGAAAAACTCCCATCTCTTTTTGAACAGCACTGCAGGAAATCTTTAATGTCCGCCTGAAGAGACAGTAAGTGAGATTTAACGTCTCATTCAAAGGACAGTGTCTCCGTAAAGAAGCGGGGCTTGAACCCACAACCTTCTAACTGAGAGGGGAAAGCGAATAACCTTATATCTTGTCGGCCCAACGTGACATTGGATCGCAGTATGGGAACGAGTGTGGGATGTGGAGAGGACTTTTGGCTTTCACCTTTGGGATTGCAGTGGGAATGTGGCCTGGGCAGGTGGCCACACATCAAGGCTTATCCATGAAAATTTTGGCCCAGTTCCATGTTTTCCCTGATCCCAGTGGGCTCATGAGCAGCGAGTGAAATAACAACCCCCTCAATTCACAACTGTTATTAAATTGCAACGGTTGACAAGGAAAACATCTGTTGAATCCAAGTTTGTAAGAAACTTACACTTCTAAAGGACCCAACTGATCAGAACTTTGTTTAAAGGGAACTCAGATTAGCCCCACACCCAAGGCAGCAACTTGCATTTTCTTTGCATTTGATATAGTGCCTTATCAGGTCTTTGAGACGTCTCAAAGCGCTTCACAGAATATACTGCGATCCCCCAGTCGCCCAATGTGCTGTCAGCTTGTCTGTTGGATATCAGGAGCTGGATGAGCCAAATTTCCTGCGGTCAAATGTCAACAAGATGGAAGCCATACTCTTTGTTTCCCGTCAACGTCTTCTGTCCCACAGTTCCTCAACCTGCCCAACCTGGCCTTAAAACTCTCTGAACTCTGCGCAACTTAGGCATCAGGATCAGTCCCCAGTTATCCTTCCTTCCCCACATCCGGTCCCTGACCAGCACCGCTTTCTTCTACCTCCGCCATATTGCCCATCTCCAATAATACCTCACCTGAAAAGCTGCCGAAACTCTTGTCCGTGCCTTCGTCACCTCCCGGCTGAACAACTCTAACGCCCTCCTCGCCGGTCTCCCCTCCTCCACTACTCACAATATTCAGCTCATTCAAAATTACGCTGCCCACATTCTCACCCGGAACAAATCCCGTACCCCGATTACTCCAGTCCTGGCCAAACCCCACTGGCTCCTGTCACAGAGCGGATACACTTCAAGATACTCACTAGTGTTTAAATCCATCCATTCCTTGCCCCCCCCCATTCTCTAACCTCTCTCTCCACAGCAGCACCTGCTCCCTCCGCTTTACTGAGTCCGGCCTCCTCTGCATCCCCCGAAAACTTCACTCCACCATCGGCGGCCGTGCCTTCAGCCGCCACACCCCGAAACTTTGGATCTCCCTCCCTCAACCCCTTTGCCTCTCCCCCTCTTTCCCCATCTACAGGTCGCGCCTGAAGACCTTCCTTTTCGACCGGACCTATTATCACCATCCCCCTCCCCCTGGCTCAGCTTCGGGTTCCACCATTGTTAAGTTCTGAGACGCTGCCCAGCGTGGAGGGCGCTGTATACGTTATTGTTGTTGTTGTTATTGTATTGTAAAGTGAATTGACTGTATATTTTGTTGGTGAAACTTGGCAGCCAATTGCGCACAGCAGTGTCCCACAAACAGTCGTGAATTAAGACCAAATTATTATTTATTTCTTTATTTTTTGGAAGGGATTACGACCCCCAGAAAGCGATAGCACCCCTCACGTGGGATGGATCCTCAAAGCGCTGAATACTGGCGGAGTCTGTCGCCAAGATGGGAGAAGGGGGAGGCATGATCGAAGAGGAAAGTCTTCAGGTGTGATCTGATGACAGATAAAATCAGATTGGAGTCCTGTAGCTCAGTGATTAGAGCACCTGCCTCGCAATTGAGAGACCTGGGTTCAATTCCCGACAGGGCAAAATGTTAGGCAAATTTCCTTACCAGCAGTCAGTAAGAACCCGGTTGTTAATCAATTGGTGGATCGCTTTTCCAGGGGTAATAATCCCTTAAGAAAAAAAATTTGGTCACTCAACGACTGTTTGTGGGACGCTGCTGTGTGCAATTGGCTGCCGCGTTTCGCTCACAAAATATACAGTCAATTCACTTTATGGTGTATCCTATGAAGCACTCGGAGACATCGGGAAGATGTAATGAAGCACTCTATCAAAGATAAGGGTTGTTATTATAGAGAGGGGGAAGGAGTTCCAGAGGTACAGAGGGTAATGGCTGATCGGGGAGCTGGGGTTGGGTCAGGCAGTGCTGAGCGGAGGCTCTGACCAATGAAACACTGAGACAAACACCCCTAAGACAATGTGTACCATCTCCACACTGACCTGAGGTCTAATCTCAGCTCATACAGCAACTTATCATGTCAATTAAATGTCTCAAAATGCTTCACATGACTTACTGTGAACAACAACAAAATTACATGTGTAAAGTGCCTTTCACATCGGGAGGACATCCCAAGGCGCTGGGCTCAGAATTACGGACCTGAGCTGAGGGTTGGGATGGGGGAGGGTGGAGGGCAGGGGGGAGACCAGCAAGG